TACTTTTTCACCTAACATGCTGGTGCATCATATCAGCTCATAATGCCAGAGTTGTTATCGAATTTTTAAATACAAACTTTGGCAATTATTTGATACATTATGTTCCATCATAGTATGTATGGTTATCACCATAGCAACATTAACTTTTAAATACATACATTAGTTTTAGACAGAACAAAATGAATTTTTGTTAATTATTCAATAACCATAAGAAATATACCCCACAAACTATATATATTTGTTATCAGAAGAAAATAACAAATTATTTTAAGTCATAGCCAACTATGGTTTCCATTTAAAAAATAAAGTTACGTCTAAAATCTCGAAAATGACGTACGTTGCGCCTTTATCTTACCTACATAAAGAAATAAGGTGCGACGTCCTATCTGGGACGCACCATCTGTTCCGATTGGACAGAACCCGGACAGATTGGACAGATTGGAAAGAAAAAAAATCGCAAAGTTGCTGGCACTCTCAAAAATCGGGTACTTTTTTTATTTAACTCGCGATAAAAAGAAAACCGTGAATCCGAAAATTTTCAAATTAACATATGTTACATAAAAATGTTCACTGATTACAGCAAACTTTGTCGCAATTTTTTTTATCGAGCGGTTGCGAAGATATCGATCTCTAAAGTGAGGGGCCTTGACTTTTTGCACGGATAGTAGTAAATATTTGTTAAAATAGATGTTTATTTATACCGTAACAGATAATTTTAAAGTCAGAATTGGTCTGTTAAGATTTACTTATATATTAAAAAATATTAATATGTATTAATATTGTAAGTTTTGAATTTTATAATAACACAGGCCTGCAAATAAAATATTTTTTAAAATTGTTGTTGTTCTAATTACTGATTTTTATGTGGTTTTTGGTGATGATTTCAGAAATAATATTGGTTTTTTTCTATCGCGTAAGGTTTGTCTACAAAATGAGGTAAAACTTTCTAGGAAAATCATATGTATTTTATATCGATATTATCTATGTATATATTATTAATAGTTATTTATTGCATAAGTGTTTTAGACAGCATTTTATCCACGCAAAATAGTTATTTTTGATACAAGATAGCGAAATGACACTTTTGCATTCGAGAACGAAAGTTTTTTTTGCGAGCTTTAGCCAGCAAAAAAAATCGTTCGAGAATTCTTTGATTGTCGTAGCTGTTGACAAAAAACTATCGTTTTGACGGTCGCTAAATACTACGCAAAAGTCAACTTTTAATAGCAGTTTTCGAAAAATGTTTAATTTTCTTAAGTGAATAAAATGCATCTAAAACACGCATGCAATACAATGTTTTATCCACAATCATACTCATTTAGAATCAGAATCGCCAAAATTTCATCTGATGTTATCAAAAAATGATCAAAAATCATTGCAATTAACAAAAACAAATGGGAGGTGTTGAATTGTTGCTATTTATTTTCGATTGTTTATCGACTCCATTTGCAACATATTTGTAAAAATGCGAAAGTTGTAAAGGTTGTAAAGGTAAACTTGGTGAAAAATGGAAAAAAGTGATTATGTTCCCAAGATAATTCTTGAGGAAGCTGAATAAGCAACTGTCCAATTATTGCCTGCAAAGTCCAGGGAACATTACGAAAACGTAATTTCCGCGTTTAATGAAGTGAAAGAAAAACGGGGCGTAATAACAATAAATGAGGAAGTCTTGCTATCGTATTTCTTAAATTTGAAGAAGAGGTATGCAATTTTATCCATGTGGTCGAAGTATTCGGTGCTGAAAGCCGCTATAAAGGTCTATAAAAACATAGACATAGGAAAATATAGTAAGCTCATAGCCTATTTGAAGAATCAGCCAAGAGGATACAAGGCGAAGAGTTTTTGACAAGGGCTTGATATCAAGGAATGAAATGTTTATTAATATAAATGTTAATGTTAATATAAATAATAAATAGGATGTGAATAGGATTTAAGATTATATTTTTCATTATTCCACTAGTGGAATAATTGTATATTATTCAACAAGCGTATAATGGCGGCTGTTATCCACGAAGATGAAGTTGCAACACGAGAGAGCGAAGCGAGCGAGTGGGTAACTTAGTGGGTAACATCCATTATACGTAAGTTGAATACTATACGTTATCTACAACTATTTAATTTTGAAAAATAAAATCAAA